CCGTTCGAACTGGTCTAACCGTCTAGTCCAAACTAGGTTTGGAATAATTGAATTTGTCACTACCATCATACTGGGAAGTCTAAACCCGATGCTACATTAGGTTAGGGAGCTCATTGTTGACTTTTCAAAATATTGTAATAGCAATAAGGTCAAAATGTGACTTTTGATCTTATTTTCTTTTAGTTTATTGTTATAATTTTATAAATTAGGATGAAACTATAATGGATGTAAGTATCTAAAATTTTTTTATCAATAATATATAAACATTTCTTGTTAAATTATAACCCATTTTTAATTAAAAAAATTATACACAATTTACAATGAAAACATATTGTAATATTCTGTTTATTATTTTTTCATAAGATGCAAACTTCAACATCATTTTAGTAAATGCTAGCTGATGTTTGAATTTTTAATCACTCTACCTCCACTAAGATTTTTTTCCTCACAATAATCGCACTTTATTTATTTATTTTTGGTCATTCCCGTAAAAGCCATAGAGATCTTAATGGTGAATAATTTGAAGACAATAGTAATGATGATAATTTCATGTCTGATGATCTCTATTAAATTTATAATTACCTTTTTAAATTTGATTACGTTAAGACTTTACTTTATATATGAATTTATAGAAATTTGAAAAAAAATTTAAAAAAATCTTGAAATTATCATTTCCAAATTCAGACACCCAAGAGTTGAAAATGATAGAGAAGGAAGTAGTACCTAATCTGGTATTTTGTAAATACACTTAAATAACTAAAATGTCCTTATGTTAAATTTTTTTAAAAAAAAAGTTATCAAACTTGTTATTACCAGTATATTTTTTGTCATTAGCTGTCAAACACTTGTCACTGCCAGTTCACAAGTTGTTAATAAATAATCTGTCATTACCAATATATATCTTGTCTTTGCTATTCAACACTTATTATTGTCAGTTCAAAACTTGCTAATAACCTTTTGATATAAGGGCATTTTAGTCATTTAAATATATTTGCAAAATACCATATCAGACATCACTTTTTTCTGTTATTTTTAGCTTTTAGGTATCTGATTTGGAATATTACAATTTTCAGTTTCTTTATTTGTCATTTTCCCTAGAAATTTCTATGTTGAGTATGATAAATTGTGAATGTTGATTAATTTAATTTTGGTTATTTGGATTTAAAATATATTTAAATGTTATTATTATTTTTTTTCATATTTTAATTATTTAATCATATATTTTTTATAGTTAAACTCTTATGAGTTTACAATCCGAGTTTACATCTCTGTTATGAATTTGCGTAAAGTTGTGAAATTGACAACATTGCTCATATATCAGAAATTATGATCAAAGAGTTGCTCGTAACTCATTCCAAACAAATCTTAAGATTTTTCTGAATGTAAGGTTAGGAATTCAAAATATGAGAGGTGTATGTCTAATTTTTCAATTTGATGTTTGGTTGCTAGGTAAAGGAAGAAAATCTGAAGATATTAAAAGATGACAGGAGAAAAATAAAGTCTTGGTTAAAAAAAAAAAGGAAAAAATAAAGTCTTGGTAAAAAAGAATATAGGGAAAATTATAAAAAAGACTATGAAATTGGTAAAATTTCAGACCAAGTATTTTTAAAAAAATATGTTGGTATATGCAAGTCACTTGTTTTAAAACCTGTTAAAGTATTTAACTGAATCCTGTTTTTGGATTTTGTAATTTTTATGGTCTTTATTCATTATCTCAAAAATAAATATATTTAGTTGTAAAGAGATGTAATAATTTTTTCTTATTTTATAATAAATAAATTTTACTTCTTAAATTTTTTTTGTACTTTGTGGGGATGTGCTTAGTCAGCTTTACATTAATCATAATTAATATATTATGAATATAAGGATGAATGTCTATGATTGAAAAATTTAATTAAAAAATATAAGTATATTGTTAAAAATTGGGAAAACTAATTCTTAGTTCTTATAGTTTTTTTTGAGTTTTTAATCAAGCATTTGTGTTTTTTTTTTCTTTTTTATTGAGTCTTTTTGGTTTACTCTGATGTGTTAGTCCTTTGAGTATAAAATTATTAAATTGGGATTAATGGTGTTAAAAAATCTGTTAAGCATAGATGATCTGAGATAAATGGAAAAATATTGACAAGCTTATTAATCAAAATGAGTCCACGTAAGCTATGACTGGAGTATATTTTTGTGGGGAGATCGTCGATCTCAGATGTCGAGAAACACTTTTTCTGCAGCATCTTGGCATCTCCCCTGAAATCAAGAACCATAAATGGAAGTGGGCGAACCGGAGGTAAAATAGCAGAAAAAAGCTATCCCCTCAACACAATTCTTCTTTTGGGGCGAGAGAGAAAAATTAAATTGATTACAGTGAGGAAAACAAAATTGGAAGCAAAAATATTAACCCATATTTTTCCTTTTGTCCATACAAATATTTGAGGAAAGAACACCGAAGAGTACCTGGAAGTGAAGAACCACCAACTGAGCACAAAATGAAGATGAAGTCTACTAGTAATGCTTGATTATAAATGATGGGGGTGGCGGCGGAGTAAATCAAAGGCTATAAGTGTTGCAAGGGGCAAGGAATTGGTAGGAAAGAAATTAAGGCGCAATTCATTATTTTAGCCTTAATTTCTTTGGAGGGAAATTTGATCTTAAGCTCAAGGCGAAGGGGCATGACGACAGATTCGCATCCGATGTGGTTGGAGACGACTTGGATTCAAAATGGGAGACAAATGATTTTTAGGGGCGATGTGAGGATGCCAAAGAAAGGCGTTTCTCAGTGTTTGATAGCCTTCTCCTTCCCCTCAGCTTCCTCTGCAATTGAGATCGAGGAATCTTTCCGGAAAATATAGTGTAGTCATAAATGCAGTTTAGTCATAGCTTATGTGGACACATTTTGATTAATAAGATCCAATTTGTCAATATTTTTCCATTTGTCTGCCACATTATCTACGCTTAACAGATGTTTTAATATTGTCTCCCAATTTAACGATTTTATACTAAAAGGATTAACACATTTAACGGAGTAAACTTAAAAGACCTAATAAAAAAGAAAAAACACACCGACCTGATTCAAAACTCAAACAAACTACAGAGACTTGGGAATTAGTTTTCCCATAAAAATTTAGTAAAATTATAAGGAGATACATATTAATTTGGAAAAATGACACAAAAATGACACTTCAACTTGAAAATGTCAAAATAGTCATATGAATTTGCAAAATCCCAATTTAGCTACAAGTGACCAATTTGAGATTTTTAAATTTATTGAAATGACCATATTGCTCTTATTTTATTTATTCTTTTTTTGAAAAACCAAAAGCCTCCACTGACCGGCCGGTCGCCAGAGTTTCAATTTCGGTGGCGGTCGCCGAAGTTTAGGTGGCCGCCGTCACTGGAGCTCGGCAGCTAATGGGCAATCTGTCGTCGGACCTTCAGCTGTCGGCAACAATTTTTTTAAAAATTTTTGCAACTTCAGTAAAATAATTTATAACTTTTGTAACGCTATTAATAAGTTCAATATAATAGTTAATAATAGGTTTTTCAGAAAATTCAAAGAGTAGCATTTTTACAATTTTAGTAATGCCGTTAATAAGTTCTGTAACTCTAGTAACAATTTCGGTATAGCATCTAACAAAAGATTTTTCTTGAAAATTAAAAAAAATGGTATTTTTACAACTTTAACGACTATTTTTTTAAAAATTTTTTTTACAACTTTAATAAAACAGTTAACAAGTTTTGTAACGCTATTAACAAGTTTAGTATAATAGTTAATAACAGGTTTTTCAGAAAATTCAAAAAGTAGCATTTTTACAACTTCAGTAATGCTGTTAACAAGTTCTGTAACTCTGTTAACATGTTCGGTATAAGTGAAAAAATATTGTTGTACAACTTTTATAAGGAGCTAAAATTAAAAACATCAACCTTTATGAGAGTTGTTAATATTGTTACATGACTTGTTAACCGCGTTACTGAAGTTGAAAAAATGTTACTTTTTGAATTTTCTAGAAATCTTATTGTTAAATGCTATACCGAAGTTGTTAATAGAATTACGAAACTATTAACGGCATTACCGAAGTTATAAAAATGCTACTTTTTGAATTTTCTGAAAAACCTATTGTTAACTACTTTTTTGAACTTATTAACAGTGTTACAAAACTTGTTAATTGCTTCATTGAAGTTGTAAAAATTAAAAAAAAAAAAGGTAGTTACTAAAGTTGTAAAAATGCCATTTTTTTAATTTTTAAGAAAACCTGTTGTTAAATGCTATACCAAAATTGTTAACAGAGTTACGGAACTTGTTACCGTTATTATTGAAATTGTCAAAATGCTACTTTTTAAATTTTTTAAAAAATCTGTTGTTAACTATTATACTGAACTTATTGATAACATTACAAAACTTGTTAACCATTTTACTGAAATTGTAAAGATTTTTAAAAAAATTGTTACTAGCCGTTAGAACTCCGGTGACGGTGAACACATGAGCTCTAGTGGTGCTTGTGGGGGCTTTTGGTTTTTTAAAAAAGAATAAATAAAATAAAGGACAATATGGTCATTTCAGTAAATTTAAAAATCCCAAATTGGTCACTTGTGCCTAAGTTAGAATTTTGCAAATTTAAGTAACCATTTTGACATTTTCAAGTTGAAGTGTTATTTTTGTGTCATTTTTCTATTAATTTTGGGATAAGATGCAAATTTATCCCTAAAGTTTTATTTAGAAGAGTTGGTTTGGGAGCAAATTTGTTCTTGAAATTTAGAATTGTAGCAATATTGTCTTATATCATTAAAAATATTAACAGTTAATGTTACTATTTTAATAGTCAGTGTCAATTTTTTGACGATAGGAGATAATATTGTTATAATTTTAAATTTTTAAGATAAATTTGCTCCCATGAAAAACTTTCGAATAGTTAGAACTCTTGTATAAAAATTTTTAGAATTAATTTACACTTTAACCCCTTAATTTTTATAAAAATAAATTAGAAAATGAATTACTACTATGACGCTTAGAAAACACAAGCATTCCACAGTCGGTCGAAGCTCGCTCGCCATTAGCGCTGTCCGCCCTCGTCAACCCTGTGCCCAGCAAGCATTCAAAAAGGTTCGAACCCTTTAGCATTTTCTTATCCCAAAATCTGATGCGATTGATTTGTTCAAGGTGGATTTGAATCTGTATTTGAATTTGTTCCCCACATCGTCTTTTACTTGCATGGATTTCAACCCTCCGTCGGACGCCATTGCACCGTTTCTTCACCTGTTCTAAAATTTTCATTTTTAACTTGGCTTTGAATCCAGTTGTGTTATCGTTTGAATATTGACACCGTTGAATTTATAGATTGAGTTTGATTGTTTTTCCCAAACTTTGATTGCTAGTTTTTGCCTGAATGGCGTGTAATTGACCATTATAGTTCTGCATTATTCTTTTTGATTACTAGCGACATATATGCTTTGGATTGTGTTATTGTGCAATGTTGAATTTGCTGTGTGTTGGCATTTTGTTTAATCTCTTTATATTATTACTCATTTAGAATATTCAGAAGGTATTTTGGATGCATGATCTAGTCAATGAGTTGGTTCCATTTGTGCCTGGCAATTTAGAAGCTTGAGTTTAAATTATTTCCTGCTGCTTATGGTCTGTCAATTTAGAAGCTATTGACAGAAACAGTCAATTTTGCGCCTTACTCTAGGCAACACTTGTAATCATAGATTGCAAGATCATAAATTGAGCGATTGTCATCATTGTCATTCTCCGGTGGCTTGGGGCTGCGGGAGTGGGGATTGCTTGAATCAATTGGCTCGCTAAGGCATTAAAGTATCTGGAGCAAAAACTAAAAGGATATGATATCAATTATGCATATTTTGAAGATTCCACTGGGGTCAAATGCCCCTTCTGAGTATAATATAGGTCTTCCTTGCTTGGAGAATATGGATATAATGTTGGGAAAAAAACCTAACTTATTGCTCTCTAATGAGTGACATCGACAAGTGTTAGAAAGCCCATGATTCTCTCCTATCATTATGCATGAGAATAATATCCCTGATTGTATGCTGTCATTAATTGTAGTTATTGCTGAATGATTCTAACCGGATTATTATCACCGTCTGGACCCTATATATTGTAATGATCTGTTATGAAATAATACTATGGAGTGAAATACTCAGAATTTAAACATGGTATCAGAGCGTTGGGGTTGGATCCGTCCTGAACCCCTGCCGTAAACAGAGAGAGCGAGGAGAGAGAGTGAGGGAGAGAGAGAAACGCCGGCGTCCTCAGATCTAAAGGCCAGAGAAGGACGTGACCGACACCACCCCTCCAATCCTCACCGGAATCCTCCGATCGGCGCGTCCCCAGAAGCCGGCGTCCAACGGAGCACCGCGTGAAGCTCACGCGCCGTCACAAGCCTCTGCGTGTGAAGCTCACGCGCTGTCACAAGCCGCCGCGCGTGAAGCCCACGCGCCGTCGCCAGATCCATCCCAGTACAGTACTTCGTCCAGAAGATGAATCCATCAGACTTTCCACCACTTTTTGGGTCTGTTCGCAATATGCCTGTCACAAAAGGCACCATTCCAATGGCTTTTATGTCTGGCACATCCTCAAATACTCAAGGTACTCCACCAGTAGCCCCCTCTAAAACTTCTGATCCGATGTCAGATTTGACAACAGTCACTGAACAGCAACCTATGATGGTGGCTCACAAACTAAATGGCAGCAACTATTTCCAATGGTCCCAGAGTGTATTGATGTATCTACGTGGGAAGCGTAAGGAGAAATATATCAATAGAGAAGCAAAACAACCGGCATACAATGATCCCAATTTTGACACCTGGTTCGCTGAAAATAATCAGGAGATGTCTTGGCTATGTAACTCAATGACTCTCGAAATCAGTGAGGGATACCTTCTTGCAAGCACAGCCAAGGAGATTTGGGATGCTGCTAAGCGCACTTACTCTACATTGGACAACGCTGCTGCTTTGTTGGACCTAAGGAGGCAACTCAAAGAACTGAAGCAAGGAAACTTGACTGTAACACAGTACTACAGTACTCTGACAAAGATATGGCAGCAATTGGATCTCTTTGAAGTACATCCTTGGAAGAATATTGATGATGCCAATTACTACAGACAACTAGTTGAAAAGGAACGAACATATGATTTTCTGTTGGGCCTGAATGATGCTTTTGAAGAAGTAAGAGGCAGAATTATGGGTCTAAAGCCCCTTCCATCCCTATTTGAAGTCTTCAGCATGGTTAAGTTCGAAGAAAGTCGGAGACACCTCACCCAGGGTAACCAAACTCCAGTTGATAGCTCAGCTTTAGTCACAAGGGGACCCCAGACATCAGAGAGCTCTGAAAGAAAAGGGAACAAGTGGTGCAATCACTGTAACAAGAAAGGCCACGCCAGAGATGAATGCTGGAAACTACATGGAAAGCCAACCCATGGGAAACAGCAACAGCGTCGAGATGGAAAAAGCCACCACACCTCCTCCGAGGAAAGAGGCGATGATGGAGATCGCTTAACCAAAGAAGAACTTCAACTGCTCTGAAAGATGCTCGAAAGGCAAAACTCATCAAAAAAGGTTCCCAACGTGAACTTGATTCAGTCAGGTAATTCTATTATTGCTCTTAATGCAATGGTCACTAGTGATGAGACATGGATTGTCGACTCTGGTGCTACAGACCACATGACTGGTAATAAATCCCTCTTCAAAACTCTCAAATATTGCCATGAGAACCTCCGAGTAAAAGTGGCAACTGGACTATATACTAAAGTTGAGGGTGTTGGCACTGTGGCCCTCTCTGATGATTTGGAAATTCATAATGTTTTGTTTGTTCCTGCTCTCACTTGCAATCTTATATCTGTAAGCAAACTGACTAAAGGACAAGTATGTCGGGTGATCTTTGATGATGTTAACTGTGTTTTTCAGGATTCGATCTCGGGGAGGAAGATTTTGACTGCTAAGGAATGGGATGGACTCTACTACTTTGAAGGAAAGGACATGAAGACAAAAGGAGCAAGGAAGGCTATGGTTAGCTCCAATTCTCGAAATAAAAATGTAATGTTGTGGCATCAAAGATTAGGCCACCCCAGTTTTGATTATATGAAGCATGTGTTTCCAACATTATTCAATAAAAATTCTTCTCCTTTCCAATGTGAAACTTGTCAAATTGCCAAACAAACTCGCACATCTTTTCCCAAGCATATTTACAAACCCACTAACCCTTTTACATTGATCCACACCGATATTTGGGGACCTGCCAGAACCAAAACCCGAACAGGCATAAGGTGGTTTATCACATTCATCGATGATCATACACAGGTTACATGGGTTTACCTTATGAAAGAGAAATCCGAAACCTTACAAATTTTCAAAAACTTTTACTCCTTTGTGAAAACCCAATTCCAAACTCCCATCAAAGTACTGAGGAGTGACAATACCAAAGAGTATGTGAGTGGAGCCTTTAGGGAATTTCTTGAGCAATAGGGAATCTATCACCAAACCTCGTGTGTCTATACCCCACAACAAAATGGCATTGCCGAGCGGAAATATAGGCACCTTTTGGAAGTAACCCTAGCCATTATGATGGAAAGAAATGTTCCAAGCCTGTTTTGGGGAGATGCAGTACTAACTGCAGCCTATCTTATTAACCGAATGGCCTCCAAAGTTCTCAACTTCCAAACCCCTATTCAAAAACTCCTTGAGACCTACCCCGCCTCACCTATCATCAATACCATCCCACAAAAGGTCTTTGGGTGTGTTGTCTTTGTCCATAAACATGATGGGGGAAAACTAGGTGCTAGAGCCGAAAAATGTCTTTTTCTTGGGTATTCCTCAACCCACAAAGGCTATAAGTGTTACTGTCCCTCTACCAAAAAACTCATAATCTCCAAAGACACAGTTTTCTATGAAGATGATGCATACTATCCCAAATTACCCATTCAGGGGGAGAATTGTGGAGTAGAATGGCTAATTACCCTTGAACCTGAGACCAACGCACCTCCTAATCCTCCAGAACTCTATACACCGCACGAAGAAATCCCTGAATCTGAACCGGAAACCCCTAAACCTACACCTCAACCAGAACAGCCCAAAACCCCCACAAACAATACTCACACAATGGAAACGAATGCTGAAATTGATGCAGGGGTGACAGGGCACTCAAGATCTCACTCAAGTGAATAAGACAGTAGTAGTGGGGTTCCTTCCATTCCAAGGCAGCAACATGATTCCAATCCGGAATTGGATCCTGAAGAACTAGGATGGCCTATTGCACTTAGAAAGGGGGTAAGGTCTTGTACTCAGCATCCTATACAACGATTTGTCTCTTATGGCAATCTATCTGCTAGAATGCAAACCTTTGTGGTGAATAGCTCACAGGTGAAAATTCCAGAAACATTTCAACAGGCCATGAAAGATCCTAACTGGAAACATGCAGCATATGAAGAGTTGAAAGCCCTGAAGGAGAATAAAACGTGAGATATAACCATACTTCCTAAGGACAAGAAAGCAGTAGGTTGCAGGTGGATCTTCACACCGAAATTCAACCCTGACGGAAGCATCAACAAGTACAAAGGGAGATTAGTTGCAAAAGGGTACACTCAAACTTATGGGATTGATTATCAAGAAACGTTTGCTCCCGTGGCAAAGTTCAATACCATCCAAGTACTCTTATCCCTAGCTGCTAATCTTGACTGGTCCCTACATCAATTGGATGTAAAGAATGCTTTCCTAAATGGAGACTTAGAGGAGGAAGTATACATGGAAGTTCCAGATGGAGTAATAGCTCCACCTAATTCAGTTTGCAAACTGAAGAAGTCATTATATGGCCTGAAACAGTCTCCACGGGCATGGTTTGACAGGTTTGCCAAAGCAATCAAAAGGTTTGGTTACAACCAAGGACAAGCTGATCACACTCTTTTTGTCAAACACAATGATGGAAAGGTAACGATCCTAATTGTGTATGTGGATGATATAGTCATAACTGGTGATGATGAAGCTTCGATCTCTCAACTCAAGAAAGCCCTGGCTAGAGAATTCCAAGTGAAGGACCTAGGTCAAATGAGGTACTTTCTCGGAATGGAGGTTGCTAGGTCCAAAAAGGGTATAAGTGTGTCACAACGGAAATACACACTTGATTTACTCCATGAAACAGGGATACTTGGGGCTAAGCCGAATGGAACACCTATGGAAGAGTCATGCAATCTGGAGGTTAAACCAGAAGGGGTACCAGTTAACTCAGAAAGATACAGAAAACTTGTGGGTAAACTGATCTACTTGACCCATACACGACCTGACATCAGTTATGTAGCTGGGGTGGGAAGCCAATTTATGCACCAACCTCAGGAAGAACATATGGAGGCTGTGTACAGAATCCTTTCCTACCTCAAACTCAATCCTGGAAGGGGAATATTCTTTAAAAGGGGGAATACAAGAAACATAGAAGTCTATACTGATGCAGACCATGGGAGAGCTGTAGATAACAGGAGATCTGTCACAGGTTACTGCACCTATGTTTGGGGAAACCTTGTGACTTGGCGAAGCAAGAAACAGATCGTAGTCTCAAGAAGCAGTGCTGAAGCTGAACTAAGAGCTGTAGCTCTAGGGGTGTGTGAAGGAATGTGGGTGATTAGACTCCTGAAGGAATTGAGAATTCCCTATGAAGGGCCAGTGAACCTCTGGTGTGACAACCAAGCCAGTATTGAAATGACAAAGAATCCAGTGTATCATGACCGAACAAAACATGTCGATATTGATCGGCATTTTATCAAAGAAAAGGTAGAAGGTGGTATCATCAACTTAAGCTATGTGCGTTCGATTGATCAGATTGTTGACATCATGACCAAACCTTTAGCCAGAGTCAAGTTTGAAGGGCTTCGAAGCAAGCTGGGGATGGTTGACATCTACTCTCCAGCTTGAGGGGGAGTGTTAGAAAGCCCATGATTCTCTCCTATCATTATGCATGAGAATAATATCCCTGATTGTATGCTGTCATTAATTGTAGTTATTGCTGAATGATTCTAACCGGATTATTATCACCGTCCGGACCCTATATATTGTAATGATCTGTTATGAAATAATACTATGGAGTGAAATACTCAGAATTTAAACAACAAGCTTAGGACTTTGGGTCACTGTCCACCTACAAGCTTAACAAATGATATATTTTTTAACAAGTAGAACATTTGACAAACTTATTTGTATGATGACTTTGCAATTTCTGACATCTGTTTGCATCAGTATGTCTTCATTATTTGGTGTTGAGAAATGAAATTAAGGGAATTGACAAATAAGAAAAATAAGTGAGTTTTATTATCTATTTAATAACAATGCTTCATATTTCATGATGTTTCTAAGGGATTTTTTTCTTTTTAAAATTACATTGCCTTCAACAATATGTTGGGATTAGAGTGAAAAAATAAATTATGCAGTTTGGAAGGTGCACCAAAAGAGATCATTAAGAAACCCTCCCCTCCTTTTTGTTGAACCAAATAAACTGAGAGAGATCCAACAAGAGGAGGCTGAAGAAGCGCTGGTTGTCTCAATCTTTGTTCTTTACCTCTTACTGTCTAAATATCTTGACATTCCATTCCTCTTTACCTTAAAATATCCAATTCATCGAGATTTCTTTGATTACTTCAATCTTAGTATTTTACTCTTATCTCTAGTGGCCAAAAGTACATATTTACGATGCTCCCATCATTTTCTTTTAGCCTCTTAGGTACATACATCGTTATTGAGGACAGTGCTTGGAATGGCTTTGTTTGTTTTCACTGGTTCCTTCATTCATGTTGATCAGCCCCAGCTTGGATTTCTGCCCCATTCTGGTCCCATTCACTCATGTGATAGTACCAACAACCTGCATACGTACAGGGGACCTCAAAGACAAAGTCAACTTTCATTTTCACATTGTACGTGAGGTAGCATTTCTTTATACTATCCATAATGATTGATGACAACCCTACAAGGATATGACTTCAGCGGGTTTGTTATAACTTATGACAATGGCAAAGAATTTAAATTTTTAACATGCTTCACCTCTCCTTTTGTGTCATTTGTGTCATTTCATTTTCTTGTCTCCAAGCAGCATTAGTATCTTAACACATTCATGGGTTTCCTTCATTAGCATCAGGAATAGTGCCTCTTGTTGCTGTTCACAGAAAGCGTCGATCATCTCTTGCTCCAACTGCTGCTGTACGCCATTTGACTGGTTCAGTGACAAGAACCCAAGGACTTCGTTTTGCTGTGGTCAGTTTACCAAATATGACCAAATATTACAGCCAAAAACTGCTTGATTTCAGTTAGTCATAACTGAAATTTTGCTCCCAAATCCATTATATATGAAATTATTAAAGGGAACTGTGTCTTGGTAACCTTTTAATGGCATGAATCTTGGCAACCTTTGCAGCTATAACCTCATATACATATTATATGAGGTTCATTGCTTATTTCATATCGTGAGAGTTGCAATGAAATCTTGAGGAAGTTAGGATGTCTTAAAAAATCTGCATTCTTGTTTCCGTTGCAAATAGGATAGAGATTGTAAAGATTTTCTTGTTGATTCTTTTACTGCTCTGACCTATAATCTCTTATCATTAAGGTTGTTGCCCGGTTTAATGAAATTGTCACTAAGCAGCTCTTGGAGGGAGCTCTGAATACTTTCAAGAACTATTCGGTTGAAGATGAGGATATTGATGTATGTATGGATTTCAGAATAACAGTAATTTGTTATTTGCATACTTTTTACCCATTTTTCTATTTGCCTGGTAGTTTGTTGATTTAATATTCATTTTGTTTTTATCTTGTTACATATTTGCATTGGGTCGAGACTTCTTACCTTGTTTTCCTTTTTTGTTCCTCCACTATTTGTTTTGCTTCCTTTTGGACTAGGGCTTAGGTTTCATAACCTGGAGCTATATTCAGAAAATGGCTTATTTCTTATTTGTAAATGATGCATTCTCTCTTCTTCTTCTTCTTCTTCCTCCTCTCTCTCTCTCTCTCTATATATATATATATATATCTATTTGTCTGTCCTCTTTCCCCTTTAAATATCTACTTGACAAAACCTATCCAACTTTATGTATTTTTGTTACTGTGCTGTTAGTGAGAAGATTGTGCAACTGTCAGTTTTTGTATCCCAACAAATATGTTAGCTCCCATTGTTTTCATTGGCAGCAAAAGTTAAATTATCTATGAAGCAAGGTAGACTTGCCATGTTCTGAATCCTATAATTGTCCGTATTACATAGATCGGCTTATATATATATATATATATATATATATATGTAATTTAATTTAATTTGTCTCGTACAGTTGCATATTAATAGCCGTTCTTTAGGTTAACGTTGCTTTCTGCATTGCTTATTTGCTTATACTTTTGTAGCATTTAAAAGAGATGACTGTAATTTTTCCTTCTACCTCAGGTTGTGTGGGTTCCAGGTTGTTTTGAGATTGGTGTTGTTGCAGAAAGACTGGGTAAATCACAGAAATATAATGCAATCTTATGCATAGGAGCTGTGGTATGGTGATAACAAGTTTAATATTTTGAATGGACAAATTATTATTCTACATTCTGGCTGATATGTTATTGATTAAATTCTTGTTACTATTGCAACCATTGGTTGTTGCAAATAGGTAAGAGGTGATACTACCCACTATGACGCAGTTGCAAATTCGGCAGCATCTGGTGTGCTTTCAGCTGGTCTACATTCAGGTCTCTTCTATTTATTTACTGTATAAATTCTTATAGCATGTTCATACAGCAACAAAATATTCATGTTTAAGCCTCTAGCTGCTATTTGTATTTCCTTGATAATTTGTTGTGACATTAACTTCAGTACGTTGGTTGATAACATTTTGATTTAAAGTTGGTTTTATTTCACCCTTGGAGTTTAGATGACAATCACTAAAATATTTAGTTTAGATCAATTTCTATGTGTTCTGACTGACATCAAACATGGATCAAACTTCTGAAAAATAGAGTACTGATGAGTGATATCTATTGTTCTTGTTATTTATTTATTTATTTTTGATTTAACTATTTAGTCAAATGAATTTACTTTGTTTTAGCCTTCAATTAAACTTGTGAGAGATTTCTAGCTAATCCCTTGATGCTAACAATCTCAACAACGGGCAACCATTTTTATCTTCTTTACATCATTTGTCACGTGATTTTCCTTTTCTATTCCCTTCTCTCTGCTGCCAACCTTATGCTGCCTCTTACATGCCTTAACGATAGTCTTCATTCTATTATTTTCAATTCTCTGTGATTTACCATGTCTTCATTTCAATTGCCAACAAGATGAGAAACTGAGGCATTTCTGAGATGACTTTGTAGGAGTTCCTTGCATATTTGGTGTCCTGACCTGTGACGATATGGATCAAGTAAGTTTATAGCCAGTCTTTTTCTGTTGAATTTTTCAAATTCTTCTTCTTGTTAATCAGGATTGTGATTGTTATGATGTCTATTCGTTTCTTCTACTAATTCCAGGCTCTAAATCGAGCTGGTGGTAAATCTGGAAATAAGGGAGCAGAGGCTGCATTGACAGCTGTAAGTTGATATGGTATTATCCAACAATCATTTGTGAGGTTATATGAAGCAACTTTTAACTTAACTTGTTCATTCGTTTACATAATCTATCTATGATATATGTGCAAGTGTGCTTTGAGATAGGATTGATGAGAAGCGATACTTTCTAACCTAAGTAATTGAAAGTGGAGTTACCCTATGGTTTTCATTAGTTATTACCGTTTTCTGTTAACGAGACTCCATTCTAAACCATATTTCAAAAAAACATTCTAATTTCGAGGATTGGAAGCTTTTTTGACTCACTTCTTACTCCTCGTATCATCCCATCATTTACTATTATGCTAAAGTCGACTTAACCAAAAACAAAAAAGTGTTTTATGCTTAGCAGTTATTATTTAAGAAATTGAAAGTGGAGTTACCCTACCACCAAGCATCTGGTTCAAATGACATGGGGCTGTGCCCCTAGAGAGAGGCCTCAAATTTGAGTCCTAGGAATACAAACATGTTAAATACTTGATGGTAAAGATTTGCTGTGCTGTGGTTCTATCCGGTTTGATCCGATTAGTTTTGACCTTGTAAAATTTTCCAACTGAAATTGGGGTTGGGTCTAAGACACTATGGTATCATTTGGTACGAAACATTAAAAATGAGGGATTGGGATTGAGATTAAGATTGAGAAAATAGTGTTTAGCATGAGAGATTGCTTATTATATGGGATTAGACAAACCCATATATGTGAGATTGGGGAATACCATAGGGAGAAGTGGTATTCTCCAATCTTACTTCCATGAGTTTGCTTAATCTCATATAACAAGCAATTACTCATGCTAAAGACTTTTTTAATAATTTTTTTTAAATACAATTATAATCCCTATCTCTCATTTTTAATATTTCGTACCAAACAGGACCTATATGTTTTCAGCCAAAAAGTTGAGTTACTCTTGCCCTCTCTTTTATGATGATATTTGGTACCAAGAAATGAGGCTACATTTGTCGGTGTTCAGTTCCCTGCTAAGTCTATCGCGTGCCGTTTCTGCATTTCTAGTTACATTTGATATTGTCTTTATTTAGGGTTGCTTTTGGATCATAAGTTTGATTTATGTGTGTGCTGCAGATTGAGATGGCTTCTTTGATGGAGCACCATTTGAAGTAGTGCTTGCACCATCCAGACAACACGTTGAAAGAATTTCTGTAAGCTCAGGGACAGCGAATGAAATATCTGTAAGTTAAATGATCGTTTTAACAATAAAGGAAACCATCTGGGCATGGTTGTGGAATAGTGAGAAATGAAATGGGCTAGTTTAAAGCCCTGCAGAATATTTTCAGGAGTGGTTTTTTTTGTTTATTTTCAACAATCGAACTTTTCTTTTGGTTATTTTGTTGCATCTTCCCCTTTTTATGTCACGCTAAGATGGGATATTTTTTCCTGTGCAATGGAAGGAATTTGAGAAATGAGTTGTGTTTAGAAATTTATTTGAAAATAATAATTTGAATTGTGGTATATTTTATTGATACATTGATATCCTACTTTTCTTCTTTAATATAAGAGCTAATTGAATAATTTAGATAGATTAAGAAAACTAATTTAGTTATTTATAATAAATATGTGTTGTCTTTTCTAAATTATAGTTGCTAATCAAATATATCTGTTAGAATTATCATTATTATAGGAATTATTTTGGAAAAAATAGATAAATATAAGAGGTAAAGTGAATTAGAGTTTTACATTTAAGATTAAAATAAAAGTTAAACGAGTTTTTTATTAAAAATTAAAGGTAGTATCATCAAGATGCTCTGCTTTGGGGTTTGCCAACTTGCCATGGAAGCTTTGAAGTTGGATGACGACGTGGAAAATGATCTGCTTTGTTTGTGCCATGCTAGTCCATTTTCACGCCACTTTATGCCACCGTTTATAGTAATAATAGTAATAAGAAGAAACATTAATAATGCGCGCGCGCACAACCCATATCTAGCTGATTCGTTAATGGTCACATTTTTATGAACATATTACAAATAACAATACAAGACAAATATCTCAAACCCTAGCGTTCTCTTGCGGCGGCAAGTTGCCAAGATGGCTCTGCCTGGGCTTTGTCCCTTTCCTCACTCTTGGAGGACTTCTCCTCTTCAGGGGGAGTTTCTGTAATCATCATTGTGTCGCGGCTCTTGGTTGGGGGTATGTAAGTTGGCGAAAGCAAATCACAACGGAGGCGTTTTGGGGGTATGGATAATCAGCGTTAACTTGCTACGATTGTGGAGGCGCTCTTTTCATTGTGTAGAGGGAATGAAGATATTTGATGGGTTCCTCCAAGTCCAGCAGCATCGGAATCGAATTTGACGCTTGGGAGTTCTTGGTGGATGGAAGCATTGGTGATATATGTGATCCGTGTCCATGCTTCTGATTTAGAACAATTGACCCACCTTTTTTGTTCATTAAAGGATCTATCTCCAGTGGTTGATCGACCTCTTTTGTTGCTGAAAACCGCGGCAACTCTTGTCAAATGCTCATAAATTATGTTAATCAACAATGCAAGACTCCTCAATGGGAATGTGATCTCCTTAAGAATTTGCTGGTCTCAAAGGAATTTTATCAGGAACCGTTCTTGTGTTTGGATTCCTAGAGAAGCAAATTTAGAAGTTGTTTGGCTTACTAAAGCTTCAGTAGATAGGTCTTGCTCTTCATTTCCTCTACAGAAGCCTCTCATGATAGTTTTATGCTTAGCTTCTTTACTGTTTATCGTCTCTATAATGCTTTTCAGGTTTCATTTTATTGCTTTATGTTGATGTATTGTGATACGGTTTACGGTAATGAATATTGTCAATTGGCAAATATATATATATATGTATATAAGACAAATATTCAAGCATACCTATAACCCCTAAAAGAACAAATATCGGCTGCGGTTCTAAATATGAGAGTTAATTAAAGATTTAATTTAATCATAAAAATAAGATTTTGATTGATTTTGTCTCTAATATTTATTAATTTTTTAAAGTAATTTTTATAGTAATTAAACATATTAAGAGATTTTTAACAAAATGGTAGTTTCAATGCACATGATTAATAAAAATATTTTAGAAGACGACGCTCTTTTATTACAACTAACTTAACTAATTTTCTTAATACTTATAAATTAATTATCCAACTCTTATATTAAGAACTACTCATTTGGTTCTATTTATAGGGTAGAAAGAGAATGTATTTTTTGGTCCTATTTGTCGGGCATTAAGAGAAATTTTTGGTATGGATGTACAATTTTATCTCTCATTTATTATTGTATTGACTTTATTTATATAAGGTATAATGTATATTAAATAGGAATAAAGTTAGAAAGTCATTAAATTTTAAATGAGAGTTAATAAAGTTTAAGATTTTCTTTGGTCTGTATAGAATATGCTGAAAGTGACTTATAAGTGGGATTAAGTTGGATTAAAAGAGTATTCATTTATAACTATAGGAATAAACACACCACTTCGAAGAACTCGCCCAAACACTATCCTCAGTCCATATAGAAACCGTACAGGCAAATGGCACAGATAAATGTCCACATATTCTGAGGAAAGTCTAAAACTACATTTTGAGTGACATAAAAGGCAAAAAGTTCTCATAGGGAGATGATGATGATTTATTAGTGTCTTTCTGGTTGGCAAAGCACCCTTCGACAAACTTTCACAGAAATAAACACAAGTAAAAAAGTTTGGTTTACTCTAAAAAACCACTTGAAAAAAAAATGTTTTTATGTTTTTTTAATATATTTACTTCGTATGCTATAAAATTATTTTTAAAAAGTTAATCTAAATGTCCTTGCAATTAGTGCATTTGTTTTAAGGAAGAGTTCTAAGGAAAATCCACAGGATCTCTAGTCCAAGTAGTTATTGATACATGAAACTTTGACATGGGTAAAAGAAACCATTCACTGTGCAAACTTTGGCTAAAAAACCTCATCATATTCTTGAAACAGATTTTGCAAGAATCCCATCACGATATAATGCTTGGTTGAGAGCTGATCTTATTTAGCAGTTTGTTTTCTTTCTTTATTTTGACTGTATTGTAATTCTCGAGTCATAATTGCCCTTTCATTTTGAACAAATGAAATTATAATCTTGAACTTAATATTTTTCGCTCATTTTCTTCTATATTGTTACATTGCTCACCAGGATTGGTTAATAAGGATTAGATATGAACATTACTTTTTCCTCATAAGGAAAAGAGGGTTAAAAGTTGAAACCTAGTTTGCCTATTTTAAAGTTGCATAGTCTTTTCATTAGCGAAATTTTATTTTCAAAGATATTTTAGTCATTTAAAATTATTTTTTATTTGAACATTTAAATTTTGAGTAAAATACATTGACTACCCTTCAGTTATACCTTAATTACACAAACCTCCCCTATACTTTGAAAACATACAGTTTAGTTCAATATGTTATCACGGTTAAGAATATTCTCAAAAGATTCTAAAAACATAATTTTTAATTAAAATTTATATTAAAATAAATTTTATTTACTATTTTACCCCATTCTAATCAATCCCCAAAATTTATATTAAATTATATTTTATTTCATTTTTGCAAATAGTTATTTGCTTAATGTTTTCAATCTAAACTTAATGTGTTATAAATGTTTGTAGAAAAAATGTGCTTAACAATTTTAAATTATAGATTCAAATGACTAACACAATCTATCAAACTTACATAGTTTATACTATATAGTGAGTAAAAATATGTGCTTGATATATATTTTTAACCATTTAAAAAATAAAATTAAGAAATTTAAAATATGATGAAAAATTAAAATTATAAAATTTTACAATAAATTCAAAATTAATAAATTTCATAATATATTAAAAAGTTTGAAAATTCATATATTAAAAGTAGTTCTTGGTTGCATAGTTTTTTTAGGAATATAAGTGTTTAATTAATTCTTATGATAAAGAGGGGTATTTTGGTAAAAAAAAGAGCTTAAAAAGTTACAATTAACGGTTAACTAACCGTTTGGATAAATAGAAATGAAATATCAGTTATACAAGGGAGGTTAGTGTAATTTGTATTATAATTTTAACGGAAGTCTATATGGGTTTTCGAAATAGAGGAGGTGTCTATGTAATTAAGGTAAAACTGAGGGGTGGTTAGAGTATTTTACTCTTAAATTTTTATATGGCGAGCTCCCGGCGATGATGTGATGTGATGCCATAAAGTTCAAATTTTGGTTGAGCACCATGGTTTTTTTTTGTTTTAGTAGGCTTGGAGCATGTCTCAACTGACCTCTATCATTGCATGTTTCTTAATAGCATGAGAGATGTAATTTTTTTTTTCCCAATTACAAGAACAAATTCTGGTATATCTTTACATTGCAATGCTATGTCAAAACTATTTATTAACAATGGACTATTGGCTCAATTTCCATGATAAGAATTTGTTATTTTGGCTCATTTTATGTGAGCTTTTTTTTTTTGGACTCAACATTTTATGTGAGCTTTGATAGGGTCTTTCAGTTCCGAACTGCGCTATAGCTAACCAAAGAGGAGATCGTTTATCTCTCTCGGTCAAAACCCTTACTATCATTGATCTTTACCATCGCCAAATTTCTTTCCAAATCACCACTAATCCATAGTTTTTAGTCTATCTTTTACAAACCCACAACCAATTATTCCTTTCTCTTAATTTGTACCTTGCTTTGGAAAGAAAATACGAAAAACCTTTATTCTTCATCTTCAGTTATTCTCCCATAATTGGGGTGTGCGATTACTGGCAATTGAAGAAGGAAAATTGTCCACCTGTTACACTTCTTCCTCTCATCCGTCTCTCTTCCTCAAATCCATGCTCTCTCATTTGTAATTCATTATCTTAGTTGTTCGCTGTTTTTTGGGGAGTTTTTTGAAGTGATTATTTTAGGTTTTATGCCTCTTTCTTTGTTCTTATATAATACAAGTGCTGGTTTTTCTTCTTTCTGATCATTTGGCTTTGTTGCTCTTTGATTTGAAACTCTAGTAAGATTGTGTTTCAATTTCATTTATGGTTTTCTTCCTTGACTCTTGTTTGGGTTTATAATCTTTTCTTCACAATGATTCTACCCACTTGTGATGAGAGGTGTCTAAACTACTGTAAGCAGCATTGCTTATTCCTTAAGGTTGTTGATAGCCAAAATGTGCATCTAGCAAAGATTCAACCTTTGATTCATGTCTGCTAGGATGTTCAAGGCACTATCTAGATCGTTCAGCATTTTCGTAACTATTTTGTACTGCACTTTAAGGATACCTATGATCGTTATCTCATTTTGAGACATGGTATAAGGCTACTTTAGGGTCTAACCTTGGCTGTCTTTTCTTGGCAACCATATATACCTGTAGCTAATCTTTCTTTCCATTCTGTGCATGTTTGGGTTCATATGTTTTGTTTGCCTTTAGATTATTACATAGTGCAGGTCGCGCGAGAGCTGGGCATTCGTTTATCATT